TTATTTATTGTGTAATGATTTTAACGTTGTATTCCTTTGAGTTTGTAAATGTATGATCTTAGTGTATAAATATGTTACGTCAGAAAGGAATTTTACATGCCCATCCAAAAAGCAATCAGTTTTTTGGTGGCAACAATTAGTTCTTAAAGGTGCCGAATCACCACGACTTTATGTCACGACTGATAGATGGGGCTGTGGTTATTGAAATTATTTGATATCGGTTTTATATTAGATATAATATTACCAGAACTTATTATCCTTTAATTTTTAAGTGGAGTGTGTATATATGAACAAAAGCAGCACACTTTGAATGGATGTTACGACGAATTACACACAATTCTCTGGCTTCAACAAAATGAATACATCATATTACCTACATTTATATATTTCTGTTTTAATACCACAGTTCCTTCAAAATTTAATGATAACCCTGATCTAATTTTGTTCAAAAGATTAAATAAGGACACAGATACTTTACTAAGAAAGCCAAGAGTATTTCTTTGTATCACAATGTTTTAAGGATAACAATGCGAGAGAAGAAAAAGATTAAATTCTAGCCCTGACAATTTTGTTTAAAAAGCTTTTGGAACTTCAAGATAGGTAGATAGTTAGATATATTGTGGTTTGCTCTTAACTATTGTATGTTATAAAATTACAAGCCAGGTTTTAGTGAGTTTGAAATTACTTAATCTAACCTAAGAGAATGCTAACTTGAATTAGCTGGAAATATATGTATATTCTTCTTGATAATGATTTATATTTTTCGTTGTTTTTTGTTTTCAAGTGAACCCTTCTTTTCTTGTAGATTTTTGACATCACGTGGACAAGGAAAGATTGGAGACGAAATTATGGGGTTCAAGTTGATGTGGACAGCTGTGACATTTAGAAAAGAAGGTATGAATGATCATTTATAATAAAAGAATGTTTTCAAAGGAATAACTAGAAAACAGCAGCTTTCAGAGACTTGTAGACAACATGGGGTAAGTTGTAATAACGATATTTCAAAATGAAATTCAAAATGTTTATCTTTCTTTGTAACATCAAGCTAAATGATAAATGTTCAATAGTATACATTGCAAAAAATCTTAGGGTTTCTTATTTTAGGGTTCTTGTATCCAACTACCAAACAACCTTGATCTGTGTTCCGCAGCAGCTGTTTTATTAAAAGTGTTTGAGAACAATGTAGTATAAAAGTTTTATATCTTACTAGTATTCAATGACTAAATATGTTATAAGCTAGTTATTTGTAAAGTTACATTACCATCTCGAAGCTCAACACTCATGGCACCAATTCCCATACTCGCCTCCCCGGCCCCTGGCTTTCTAGTAATTTCGCCGTCAGTAAAATATAATTGATAGCCACTGACCAAACCAATCTACTCTCCCAGCATGTACCTGACATCACTGGTGTCAAGCGTTGCATGTCCTTTGGACAAGCAACTACTGAACTGGTCAGATTAATGTTTTTACTTTTATAGGGAGAACAAAGTTAAAAAATAAATAAACCAATGACACCAGAGCTGAATGTTAATGAAGCAATTACACACTTCACAGGGTTTTTATGTGCTGTAAGTAATATATAAAAATGAAGATTGCATGATTAAAATAAAATAATTATTCATGATGTTAGAAAAACACGGAGGTTTAACAGGTCTTGATACAAAATGATAAAAAAAACTTTAACCCGAGAGCTTTCAAAACGGGGACCTTTCTTCTTCAAGGGCAAACTGGGAATGGTGGCGTAATCGAATAAGTGATATATAAAGGGAGTTGCGTGACGTCATGAAGGTTATCTGGTCTTCCAAGAAATGTTTAGTATATTCACCAGTCGATCAGTCCCTTGTAGAGTTACCTTCATTAGAACACAATAGTCCTTCATCTGTTGGCATCAACTCTCACAACGACCAGCACAGCACTGTTTATACTTCGTCAATGAAGAGACAGTTACCATCCCTCTTCTTTACCTTAAATTTCCTCACCCTCTATTTCACGATTACAACGACATCCTTACACCAATATCTGTCAACATTCAACCTGAAACAAGCGGCGAATGACTCAACTACAGCAGAAAACAACAATTTCAGAAAGTTAAACTCACTGAGAAACTCTCAAGACATTATCAACATGCCAATTCGCTAGTGTATAACATAAAAAAACGAAATATATCTCAATCTCTTGCATTAAAAGCACCAATCACAATAGAACACATGATCAGAATTTGTGTAAAAAATGGCTCCAGAATCTTGAAAACACCTCTTTAAAAATCATGAATATCGCTAAAATCTTCTGTCAAAATTCTGTTGATATTCTAGATAAAGAAATTTCCCACTGTTATCAATCTTTCGCTGGAAGAAAAAGAACTACAAAAAATTACAAAGAGAACTGATACATTCCTTCTTAAAAAGTATAACAAAAACAGCTTCCTACCAATAATACCAATTCAAAAAGTGCGTTTAACAGCATTCTTTCAAATCCTCTTCTTTATCATAAAGAAACTACCACAGCATCAAACAATCTACCAGAAACTATCAAGTCCCTTTATTTCACAATGATCGGCTTAATTTTTTTTTAAAAACACTTCATCCTCTAATACGCATAAGCCTTCTCAAACTAAGAAATGTGTTAAAAATTACAGTGACCTCATAAATCGTACAGGTAACTTCCAACATATTTCTTTCACATATAATTTTCTCTGAAGCAGAACTCAGTCGCCTTAGCAAAGGTCTCAACTTTTGTCCAAATAACAGCTATGTTAATGAGCCCAAACTTTTTCTGATCTGCATGAATTCTCTAGAAAACTAATACTTCGCGAATTTGTTCACAAGAAACTCCACACTACTGAAAATCAACATACACTGAACTTGAAAAAAAGTCTTCATGGACACCTCCACAAAACAGAGAACCACATTTAGAGAATTATATTAAAGCAGTAGAAACTGATATAATACAAACCTTAGAATGTTCCAATCAATGTCATAATAATATTAACCAAAATGAAAGAACTGCTCTAAACAATCGCAAATCGAACAACATCATAATAAACCCAGCAGACAAGAGTGGGGCTATTGTTATTCTTCACGAAGATGACTATAACACGAAAGCTAACCGGCAACTACCAAAGTTTCAAATATAATTTCTTTTATTATTTTTACCTATAACTTGAAACTTGAAAACGTTTAACGAATTATGAAAAAATATTTTCAACTCCTACAACTGAACAATCGTCTTAAACAGATATTTCCTGAAGTTCCTGTTGTCTTCTTCCGAAAAAGCGAATTACATCCCACCAAAAAATGGTTGTCATCCACGTAATAAAGCTCGTTGTCAAACCTGCAAGTTCATAAAAACTATTGACTCATTTTCTGACAAGTGCAATAATGAAACTTTAAAATTTCCAAAGAAATCACTTGTGGAACACAAAACACCATTTACCTTATTCAGTGTAAAATGTGAAATAACCAATATATATATATAGGACATACACTAAAAACTTAGAGAGCATTTTAATCAACATAAGTCTTATATTAACATCGAAAAAGATTTCCCTGTTGCTCAACACTTTAACCAACCTGGCCATTCTATTAACGATATTACTCTCATTGGCATTGAAACAGAATTCAAAATTAAGCTGACAGAGAGATAAAAGAAGTGTATTAGATTGCTATTCTAAACACTGTTCGACTTTTTGGAATCAATCTAGATCCTGGAATCAATTATCTCCGATCATTAGTTTCATCTCTTTCAGGAAAATGATTTTTATTTTTGCTTATTTCTGGAATGAGATAATGGATAGTTTTAGCTGTGGGATAGTAAAATATTTGCGCTGCCCTATTAAAGTTCTGTTTGTCACTAACCATAACAGCAAGATGTTTCCATTTTAAGTTCTTATTGATCCTATTTTAAAGCATCAAGAGTCTGATTCTGTATAATAACTGTGCCACAGAGAAGAATTAATCTAGAATCCAAGATGAACTTTCTCATCAGCTTTATCAAACGAGGAATGTTCAGTAAAGCAAACGCTGGCTTTTGGTTCAATGAATTAGAGAAGCTGTGATTTTCTAAATACAAATTAAACTCACGTAGAGGTCCACGACCTTTTCCCATCTAAGTACATATAATACCATTTTGAATCACGTCCAAAAGCGTGCTTATCGTGAAGGTGCCTTCAAAGTAGAAGTAGAGACCTCTCACCATAAACAAAGTAAGTTGTAACCACAGAGTACTCATGTGGATCATACATAACACGTGAATCGACTTTCATTCCATCCAATGAAAAGGTGCAGGGCTTATAAAAATCAGAGAGTAATGTTGTTTACCTTCCCTTAAAAATAAATAATTGAGTAATGAATTCTGGTGTACTAGTAAAACATATTGCCCATTTTTTCTAGTCTACTAAGACAAAGAAGCAGGTTACATCTGGATCCTGTAGGCTTTCTTCAAAACTACTCAGAGACTTCCAGCAAACATTTGGTATCCCCCCCCCCTCAAATAACCTTTTATTTTGTCATAAAAATTTTTCTTCATGTGAGCTGTTGTGGAAATCACAAATCTACTTAATATATTTTCTTGTTCTGTTAGTCTATTAGACATGTTTCTTTCAATTGTTGATTCTCTTTTATCACAACGCGAAGTTTTCCTTTTCTACTCCATGAAAACACTTTTTAAGCCTAGTGCGTAATCTTCAAACATCAGAGCAACTTGTAATCTTAAAAGGCTTCTTTGTAGTAGTTTTTGATTCATTTTTATCAGTTTGACTCCAATAAAACACAGGTTTATCAACTGTTAGTCTAATGCATTATTATAGTATTTTAGCACTTGTGTATAAAGTTAGAATCATAAATAATATTCAACGTTAAACTGGTACACAATTAAAAACATTTTATTTAGGCCTATCTATGGCCTTCAAAAAGTTGACGACTCTACCATGTTTGGACGTTACAACCTCATCCTCAGGAGTGAATTACTTGATAATTGGCAAAGTATTGTTACGTCTCTGATCGTTTGTTAATTTCCAGTATAATTTCTTTCGGATGAAAATTTAGCGATACAAGTCCTTTCT